ACAAAGGCCGAAGAGAGAGAGAGTTTGAGTGGAGTGCAAGTCAAGTTGTTTCCATCCTACATTAGGAGATCTAGGTTGTTTAGGATACTGAATATTTTATTGCTTAATTATTCCCTAGGTAGATTAGGACTAGATATAATTTGGTGCCTATATAAAGGACCAACCCCCATGTTATTTTTCATCATCCAAGAAATCAATAGAAGTCTAGAACTTTGTTCTTCCAACTTTGCTTTAGTCTTTTCACCAGAATACTATAGCAATTTTATCGTTTCAATAGGCGCGGTTGTGCCTTGAGAAACACTATCGGCGATTCAAGGCGCGGGTTCGCGGCTTATCGGCAGTCGAAACACACGATCCTCATCATGCCTGTGCGCGGCCTGCACGCGGGCTGTGCGGGCCTGCCGAGCTTCTTAGGGCCAAATGACATGGAAATTATTTCTAAGTGTCCGGTTTGACCCCAGCTTGACTTGAACAACAAAATAATAATAATAATAATAATAATAATAATAATAATAATAATAATAATAATAATAATAATAATAATAATAATAATAATCGTTATAACAATCTCCAATAATTCATAATCAAACGGGGCGTTACAGTCTACCCACCTTACAAAGAATTTCGTCCTCAGAATTCAAAACAAAACAACTAGAAGGCACTAAAAATAAATATACAGAGGGGAACTCAAAACATAAAGTTCGGATAACGCCTCCTAATACCGTCCTCCCTCTCCCAAGTCGCCTCAGTCTCATCATGTCGGCTCCACAACACCTTTACCAAGCTCACTGCCCGGTTCCTCAGCTGATGGACCTTTTGGTCCAGGATAGCTACCGGCACCTCCTCATAGGTAAGGTCTCGCTCGACCTGCAGCTCTCCGAAGTCCACCACATGATCGGGATCATGCACATACCTCCGAAGCATGGAGACATGGAACACGTCGTGCACACCCGACAAGTCTGGTGGTAAAGCCAGCCGATACGCTAAGTTCCCGACTCGATCGAGGATCTCGAACGGCCCAATATAGTGAGGTTTAAGTTTCCCCTTCTTCCCGAAGCGAATCACACCTCTCATGGGTGAAACCTTCAAGAAGACATGATCTTCCACTGCATAAACATGCTCTTGCCTCTCCCGATCGGCATAAACCTTCTGTCTCTCTTGGGCAGACCTGATAGTCCTCCGGATCTCCTCAACTGTCGTTGCAGTACTCTGGACAAAATCTGGACCCGTGATCCTCCTCTCTCCAACCTCATCCCAATACAAAGGAGTCCGGACCTTACGTCCGTACAAAGCCTCGTACGGGACCATCTTGATCGAAGAGTGGTAACTGTTGTTATAGATCAGCTCAACTAGCGGAAGGGCATCAAGTAAGGCTTCGGTCCAAAACCACAGCCATCAATATATCCTCTAAGTACTGGATCGTACGCTCCGACTGACCATCTGTCTAGGGGTGAAAGGCTGTACCGAACTCCAACCTCGTCCCCATGGCTCGGTGCAACGTCCTCCAGAACTGGGATGTGAACTTGGCATCTCGATCCGAAACAATCTCCACGGGCACTCCATGAAGCTTAACAATGTCCTTGACGAACAATTCGGCGTAATCACTCGCCTTCATGGTCGTCCAGACTGGCAGAAAATGGGCAGACTTCGTAAGGCGATCCACTATCACCCAAATCGAATCATACCAACCCCTCGACTTCGGCAGTCCCACTAAGAAATCCATGGTGATGCACTCCCACTTCTACAGGGGAACCTCAAGGAGCTGCAACAACCCTCTCGATTTCTGGCGCTCAGCCTTCACTTGCTGACACACCAGGCACCCATCCACGAACTTTGCTACCTGCCTCTTCATGCCTCCCCACCAGAAAGACTTCCTCAGGTCCTGATACATCTTCGTGCTACCAGGATGGATGGTGTACGGGGCACTATGGGCCTCTCTCAAAATCTCCCTTCGCAGCTCCCACACCTTCGGGACACAAAGTCTACCCTCGAAGACCAAGGCCCCATCAGATGCGACTGTGAATCCACCAATTTTACCGGCTTCCGACAACTCTCTCATCCGGCATAGGAAACGGTCATTCGGTTGCTTGGCGACTATCCTCTCTCGAAGAGTCGGTCCCACAACCAAAGAGGCCAACACGCCCCCGACTGTCGAGGTCGACTCCACTGCCTCTAACTATAATCGCTCGAACTCCCGAAGAAGAACATCCTTCCTGGTGAATAAACAAGACAACTGGCCATAACTCCTCCGGCTAAGGGCATCGGCTACCACGTTAGCTTTCCCAGGGTGATAGCTAATGGTGCAGTCGTAGTCCTTGACCAGCTCCAACCACCTACGCTGCCTCATGTTCAGCTCCTTCTGAGTGAAAATGTACTTTAGGCTCTTGTGGTCGGTAAGGATCTCACACTTGCCTCCATAGAGGTAGTGCCGCCAAATCTTCAAGGCTTGGACAACTGCAGCTAACTCAAGATCATGAGTGGGGTAGTTCTGCTCGTGAGGCTTCAGCTGCCTCGAAGCATAGGCTACGACTTTCCCCTACTGCATAAGGACACATCCCAAACCCATCTTCGAAGCATCACTATAGATGGTGAACTCCAAAGTAGGGTCGGGTATAGATAGGACAGGCACGGTAGTGAGTCTCCTTTTCAACTCATGAAAACTCTCCTCGCACTGAGGACTCCAATCAAACCTCACGACTTTCTTCGTAAGGTTGGTCAGTGGCTGGGCTATCCTCGAGGAGCCCTCGATAAACCTCCTGTAGTATCCTGCTAACCCCAGGAAACTACGAACATCTGCAGCACTTCTTGGCGTATCCCATTTGCTCACAGCCTCAATCTTGCTGGGATCCACCGCAATGCCTCGAGCTGTCACAATGTGGCCAAGGAATGCCACACGGTTTAGCCAGAACTCGCACTTCGAGAACTTAGCATACAACTTCTCGCGGCGAAGAGTCTCCAGCACAATCCTCAAATGCTCCTTGTGCTGATCGATGTCCCGGGAATAGACCAAAATGTCGTCGATGAACACAATGACGAACTGGCCCAGGTAAGGATGAAAGACCCTATTCATAAGGTCCATGAAAACGGCTGGGGCATTGCTGAGTCCGAACTGCATGACTACAAACTCATAGTGGCCATAACGGGTACGGAAAGCAGTCTTAGAAATATCCGACTCCTGGATCTTCTGCTGATGATAGCCAGAATGCAAGTCAATTTTTGAGAAGACGCTGGCTCCTCTCAGCTGGTCGAAAAGGTCCTCAATACGGGGAAGGGGGTACTTTTTCTTGACTGTAAGGGCATTCAACTCCCGATAGTCAATGCACATTCGCATAGATCCGTCTTTCTTCTTTACGAATAGGACAGGCGCACCCCACGGCGAGACACTCGGACGAATAAAACCGAGCTTAAGCAACTCCTGGATCTGGGCCTTGAGCTCTTGAAGCTCCTTCGGCGCCATACGATAAGGGGCCTTAGAAACGGGGCTGGCTCCGGGAATTAGGTCAATGGTGAACTCCACCTGGCGGTCTGGCGGTCCTCCGGGTAAGTCATCAGGAAAGACGTCGAGGTACTCGCAAACAATAGAGACTCGTTCAGGTACCCGCTCATCAACATCGTCGGATACCATGGAAACAAGATAGCCTTGACAGCTACCCTTGGAAAGGCTCTTCCTAGCTTGCATAGAAGAGATGACCCGAGGCACAGTCCTCGAACTCACCCCAAAGAACACAACAGGCTGATCGGAAACGGGATAGAGGGTAACTTCGCGCTCCTGGCACCAGATATCGGCTCGGTAATGGATGAGCCAGTCCATGCCCAAGATCACGTCGAAGTCTCGCATATCAATTACATAGACGTCGGCCTCCAGAACTCGACCACCAATACAGATAGGAAGATTGCGAACCACTGAATTAGAGATAATAATTTTTCCCGAGGCCAAACTAACCTCGAGAGGATCACAAGCGTGCACAGTGCTAATAGACAATGCCTCCAAGCAACGAGAAGAAATAAAGGAGTGGGTAGCACCGGTATCATATAAAGCAAAAACAGGCACATGGGATATCGAAAGCATTCCGTACATGGTACCTGTGTTGCGAGCGGCCTCATCATGGGTGATGGTATAGACACGGGCCTGACCCCCAATCTTCTGCTGGAACGGTGGGGGCTGCTGCTGCTAATGAGGTGGCGGTGGGGGAAGCTGCTGCTGCTGCGGAGGAAACTGCTGCTGCCTCTTGGGCTCACGACAAACATTGGCATAGTGTCCCGGGCGGTTGCAGTTGAAACAAGTGCGCTGGCTAGCTAGGCACTCACCGCAGTGGGATCTACCGCATTTCAGGTAGGCTTGGCCAGTGGAGGATCGATTGTCGCGCCTATCGAAATTCCCTTTCTTTCATTTCTTCTTGTTCTGGAAGTCGGACTTCCTCTTGCCCGAACTAGAGCCGGGCGTCACAGATGAGATGGGCCGAGCATGCTGGACAACGGTCTGAGTAGGCTGGGAAGCATGATAATAAGAAGGAACTGGAGCCAATGGAATGAGACAACTCTCAACCTCCTGAGCCCTACTCACGGTATCTGCATAGGACATCAGTCCGTGACTTCCCACCAGTTCACGGATCCTCTGGTTTAGCCCCTTGAAAAACATGCGGGCCATTTTGGCATCGGTGCTCACTGCGTCGCCCGCAAAAAGGCACATTCGGGTGAAGGTGCGGATATACTCATCCACTGTGGAGCTGCCCTGCTGCAAATGGTAGAACTCATGCTCCATCCTGTCCTAAAAGCTCTGGGGAAGGAACTTGCTGCACACCATCATCTTCATTTGCTCCCAAGAGAGTGCATGGAGCTCTGCCTCTGGCCTCCGAGCCCAGTGGTCAATCCACCAGTCGGAAGCGTCCTCCTTCATTTGGTAAGCTGCAAGGGATACCCGCTGACGGTCAGGAAGAGGAAGTACAGTGAAGATCTTGTCCAGTTCTTTGATCCACTCTAGCACCGCTGTGGGGTTCTCAGTCCCTGCAAAGGTTGGTGCATTCATCCTCTGAAACTGAATGATAAGCTGAGTAAGGTCCATGACCGGAGGGGCCAAGTGCTGACGAGGAGGAGAAGGTTGCGGAGATGGCTGACGATTACGGTTGTTGCGGCTATTCATGCTTCTACATTGAATAAGCCGAAATACAATCAATATTACAAAAGTCTAGAGTTCGCCAATAAACACTAGAGTTCGATAAAATCAAGGTGGATAGATCCTAAGCCCCAAATCACAAGTTCATCACAAGTAGTTTCATTGCTACATGTGCATCATTTACCTATTAAGTATTTTCATTAATACTTAAGCAAAACATACCTTAAGCAGAGCGGAGTGACGGAGACGAGTGGTCATATTACAAGGTCTAAACACATAACCACATATGAACCAGTCTACAGAAACACAAACTGGCTCTGATACCAAACTGTGACACCCCACTTTGATTTTACAGAAATTCCGAACTTTCTAAAAATCAGTATAAAATTTTCGAGATCATTTTCGAAATCTAATGGTTGTTAAACAACATATTTCGTAACCCAAGTCTTATCTGGGTCCACGGGGATTCATTACCCAGTTTTCACGAATGGTATTCATTAACCAAAGCATATCGTGAGACATAATTCTCAAACATGAATATACTTAAACCATACCATCACACCCAACATCAGGGTTCCACAAGTTTTCCAAAAACAAACAAGTCTTACGTTTTGGAAAACGGTTTTAAATAAGTTTTCACATAAAGGTCCATAAAAGCCTTAATTATTCTACGGAAGCAATAAATGCATAACATGATGACCGACCCACTCGCCTCTCCTCGTCACCCTGCTCCTGCTTAACCTGCATCGGTGAAGAGCAGGTGGGGTGAGCACAAGATGAAAAGCGTGCTCACCTTTCACCAAGTTTTATACTCAAGACCTCAGTTTAACTTGAGCAACCAATTTTTACGAAAAAACGATGCAAATATGAGTTTACAAGTTCTCCGGGCAATCCTTGGAATTTTTAAATAAAATTTGGACACAAGACACATAACACTAGAATAATGTCACTCACCAAAAATCACATCAAAATACCAAGGATCCAATTTTTAATGATGTTTTTAAAGTTTCTACCCAGAATTGCAAATCGACATTTGACATAGCTACAGACATCATTTCGACTTGAAATTTTTACAACACATAATATACCAAAAGAAGGTCATACATTTTAAATTACACAGCAATCGGACGAACACATGATTTATGATGATTTTTGTAAAAATCAGCAGCAACTCCCGATTCAAAAATACATATATGGCCACATACTCAACAAAAACGTCTAAGGCCTGCACCATGAGGCCAAAGACTAATAAATGTTCCATAGTCCACATCCCTAACACGATTTTAATGAGGGTTCATCAAACATGCATAACAAAATGGCTCGGAGGTGAAAAATGAGCTAAAAATCGACTTCTATATGACTGAGCACCCTTACTTATTTTGAGAAACTGTTTTACCCTCATATTACTCATGATTTATAAGGATTTTTAAGCTCAAGAAATCGGCTGAAACATGCATGCAATGAAAAGTCCGATTTTAAGGCTTATGCTTTAAAAATCCGAAACTCATATTCTACCCGAGCAAAATATGATTTCTCTACATGATAAATCTTAAAATATCATGTTATAGCTAGGATAAAAAGATAGCACGAGCTAACCTTCACCGAAGGACGAAAACGGCGCTAGGTCCCTTGCTCGGCTCTTCTTGGGTCACTAAAGGCCGTGGCTTGACTTGGTGGCCTATAAGCTGAAGATGGTGGATTATCTAAGCTCCTTATACTCCCAGAGATGATAAGAACTTGGCTTGGTGCAGCAAAACTCGGCTAGCACAAGAGATGGCTCGGTGCTCCTCTTTATCGGGCCTAGGCGCATGCATGCAAGGCTCTCGGCTATCTCTCTCTATATGGCTGAGTTTGGGTGAAATTTTAAGTAACCAAGAGTGTTTACTTGCTGAAGAATGAGGTTAAATGGAGTCTTGGGCGTATTGCACTAGGTAGCTCATGGGAGACACATTTTAAGTGCTCTTTTCCCACTTCATGTGCAACTAGGGACTTGGGGCTGCATTGGGGATGACTTGGGTGGAATTTGAGGAGGTTTTCAGATCATCTTGGAAGAGGACAAAAGCTCTAGTCGGACACAAGGTGAGTGGGGGACATAAACTTACACATGTGCATTAAAATAATGCATGCACATGCACCCACTTTGGCTAAGGACAAAATGGCTTTGACTTGGATTACCCTAGGGTCAGTTGGGCTGAAAAAACTCCTAAATAAGTTGGTTGCACCCTCACAAATTTGGGCTCGGTGAAAGTGGGCTGGATTTTCCCGAATTGGGCTCGGAAGGTGGGCTGGCGCTGGCTGGGCGCGCGCTGTGCGCTGCCTGCGCGCGCTGGGCGCTGTCTGCGCGTGTGATACGGAAGTGGTCATCAACCCCGGTGAGTCCGACGATGAAGGTGACGATGGTCTCGTTTTATGGTTGGAAAACATGTTGGAAGAGCCATCAAGTCCGATTTATCGACCATCATGCAAGAGAGACTGGCCAAAAGGGTGTGGTCCACGAGCTAAGCTCAAGCCTAGGAGGCGCAAGAACAAACGAGCTCGAAGGAAACACAGGGCGAAGGCAAAAGAGGAGAAGTGTTGGTGCAAGCCGTGTGCGAGGAAAAGGCGAGTTCGCAAGATGGTGGCTCGAAGGGGAGGTAAGAGTAGAATGAAGGATGGTTGGATTTGGCGAGCTGGAGATTGTATTGGGTTGGATGGATGAGATCCATGGCCATTAGGAGAGCTTAAGGAATCGGGCGAGCACTTGGAGTCCGTTGGCGACGAGTGTGCGAGCACGAGCCAAGAACGCGCATCGTCCCTTGATGCGCGTAATGGGCCGAGGAGTCGAAGTTGTGCACGGGTGAGTGATGACGACGCAGGCGACGCACGATGGTACGCATCGGAAGGATCGGTGTCAGAGGTTGGCAGCACGCGGACGGCAGCGGGCGTACGCGGGTGCATGATAGACGATCAGGCCACGGGGACGGCTGGGACGCGCAGTGCGGCGGGTGCACGATGGCGTGCGGTAGAGGAGCGGGACGCGCGATGGTTGGCCAGCCGGGGCGAGGCGTGCGATGGGCGCGCGAGTACCAGCGACACGGGCGGACGCCTAATCCATGTGGGCATAAGCGTAACGGGCGACTGTAACACCCCACTTTGATTTTACAGAAATTTCGAATTTTCCAAAAAACCGGAATAAAATTTTCAAAATCATTTTCGAAAACTTAGTGGGTGTTAACTAACATTTCTCATACCCCCAAGTCTTATCTGGGCTCACGGGGATTCATTACCCGGTTTTCGTAATCGGTTT